GGGAGGGGCTCAGGGGGAGGAGAAGCCATGTGCCTGGTGGGGACAGACCAACCTAGGGAAAGCCAGTGGTGCTATTACGAGTTGGTTTTAGACACCATACTAAAAACAAACCATCTCAGCGACGATGGAGAGAGAGGTCAGATCCTAAAAGAGCAAGTATTTGTTTCTGGAGGAAAGAAAGGGAGCAAGGCAGAGGGACTCCTGGGTTGAGGTGGTCAGACTCCCAGAGGGGCAGGGAGTGGGGCATAGGCACTGGCTCCCCCCGCCTCCCTCCCCTCCCTCTCCCCAGCTTCCCCGGCAGTGTTGGGGACCCAAATCCACACGACAACTGATAGTAAGACAAGACCCTGGTTCTCGCAGGTGACAAGGAAGTGGGAAGGTCTCCTGCCTGAGAGGCAGATGATAGCACGGGCCATTGCCAGAACATCTGAATTTGTGTGCCTACATCCCATTCAGAGCCACAGTGCTAGCTAGAACTTTCTGAGAATCCATTCACAGAAGTGACCCAGATTTCTCATTTTAAATGCTGACATTATAAAGTATCAGAGCTCCAGTATGTAAAAATAGCACAGAGATGAGGCCTGGTGAGGAGGCCAGGGTGTGGGATGAGGGGAGAACGCCTTCCTGGAGAAGTGGGCTCCAGACCACACTGGTGTGGATTCTCCGAGGTCAGAACTCTGCAGAACAGGGAGGCAGGGGCTGGATATAGGGGCAGAGAGAGGCTCAGATTTACAGAGCAGGATGGAATAACATCAAAAGGATGCAGAAGGCACAATCCAGGAGGAAAAAGAGGAAGCCGGACAGCTGCGTCAGGGAGGGGAATGACCGCAGGAAGGAAAAGGGGGAGAGGCAAACACCAAGGCACCCAGTCTGCGCCTCCGAATGAGGAGATCCGGTCTTAAGTCACAACCGCTCTAGTCCACCTTACAGGTGCGGTGTGTGCTTGGTGTGTGCACTCCCTCACTCTTGCAGCCTCCTGGAGAGGTGAGGCAACTCAGTGTCACCTACAGGAAGCAGACCGGGCACCTGAGGCCCCCTGAAGAGGAGAAGTGAAAAGGAACAGGCAGCCAGGCAAATGGCTCACGGGGAAGAGGCCTCCCCAATACACGCCGTGATCACACAGCTTCACACAAAGCTGCTGGCCCTGTTGTAATTGACTCTAGTCACGTCCAAACACCTCTGAGCAGCTGGGCAAAGGCAGCCTCTGGGGCACACCTTCCTGGGCACACCTACACTGTGCAGAATTCTTCTCCAAGGACACAAGAACAGGGGGACAGGAGGACGCCCAGCCGGCAGAGTCGCCCAGGCCTCACCAGCCACCCTATGGCATCCCAGAACACTAAGCAGCTTCCATGGCAATGCCAGAAAATAAGGTCCGGCCTGTCCTCAGCCAGCAGCAGCTCTCACAGGTCCTGGGACCTCTCCTCGAAGCCTCACTTTATGAGGAGGCAATCAGGATTTTTAAGGCTCCACTGTCAGATCCAAGCCTGGCTCTGCACGCTGCCCCGTTCAGAGGGAACAGAGTCATCTGGCTGGGACGGTCATCCAGAGCTTTTGGTACCTTGCAATTCTGTGGGCCCCACGGAGGGAAAAACGCTTTGGAACCACATCAGAAGTGAGCCCGACAGAGCGCCCTTGCTAGGCTGGGACGCATCCAGAGCTTTTGGTACCTTGCAATTCTGTGGGCCCCACGGAGGGAAAAACGCTTTGGAACCACATCAGAAGTGAGCCCGACAGAGCGCCCTTGCTGGCGTGTGGACTCCCAGTGACTCACGTCCAGGACCTTCGCAGGACATGGTAACCAGGCCATTCAAAACAACCTCTCAGTTATCACCAAGATCTCCGAGTCCTGCCGCCACCCCAGGATTTCAGCCCAAGGAGACGCTGCCCCACCTTCCACCTCTACTCCAGTTCCTCTGGAGGGAGTCACAGACCTGAGCCCTGCCTGCCCGGTACATTGGCATCGGGGTGCGTCCGCTACCCCAGGGGTGCTCCCTAAGCTCCTGGGAGCTTTGGAACTCTTCAGCACCCACAGTAGGATATCTGCGGATGGGGGGCTGGGAGGATTTTGGCCCCCACCTGTGCCACTTTTGCCTGGTTTCATATGTGGGTTCAATATAACACATTGATTAAAAATAATTAAGAAAATATCCTGTTGCTTTACCAAGCCTGAAAAGCACTGTTGAGAACAAATAGGCCAACGGGTACACAGTGTGGTTACCATAGGTAACCATGTGACCTTCTTTGCCAATGCTTCATTCTTCAAGCCGTGATGGCCTTGCTAAGGTCCTCTACCAGCGCAGTGTCAGCATGGCCACCAAGGCCCATGTCCTGTCACACATGCCAGCTTGAGCCTTTCCTTCGAAAATGACTTACTCTAAGCAGCCCATGTGCCCAAAGCCATCAGCTCTAAAAGGGACAGACAGGGAAGGATGTGCGGAGGTCAAAGGCTGTCCCCCAGCAGGAGGCCCCTCGAGCCCGGCCATCATGGGGCCAGCAGCTAGGGTCCCACATTCTCACTTTCTCTGTGGTTATGAGCTTTTGCACCCAACCTTTTTCCCTGGTGCAAGTCCCATGCTGTGGAGAGAAGCTGAATGAATAGATCAATTTTATCATTATCGTAACATAACCATATGGAAGAAAATTCATATTTATTCAATAATATCTACTATACAGTTCATATCCAAAATTGTATAATTATCCCAACGTGCTTTTCTAATTTTTTTTGACCCAAGATCTATTCACGGTTCACTCACTATGTTTGATGTTGTTTCTTCCGTGCCACTTTTCTGTAGCAGATTTTCATCTTTTTTCAAATAAGACAGAATATTCCTGGAGAGGTTTGGCCAACTGTTTTGGTAGAATGTACCACATTTGAGGTTTTTCTGCTCCTTGTTGTTAATTCAGGTGGGTCGGTACCCAGGTGTCAGTGTGTGCTTGTGACCCACATCACTGTGGGAGGAGGTGACAGCGGGCTGCGCCTGTTGGGGGCACCAGGCCAAGCCACCTGGCAGGCTGCCCCACGGGGAGATCCACCGGCCCTTCCGAGTCAGTGTGGCACCGTTAACGATGCTTTGAGACACCAGTGTCCAGGCCACCGTCACCTCTCACCAACTCTGCACCCAGGAAGGGGCCCGTCTGGGGGCTTCAGGATATAGATTTTCATGACTAATGAGCTACAGTGCCATAAAAAACCTTGCTTTCCCCCATCCCTCCCTCTCTAATTATCACTATGGTTACAGATTTAATTACTGTTGCTATTATTATTATTATTACATTAAAAGCTGTGCATCCTTTACCTGAAATATTTGGGACCAGAAGTGTTTCAGATTTGGGAGTTTTGGGGGGCTTTTCTGCATAGGCTTTACTAGTTGAACATCCCTAATCCAAAAATTACTCCAAAGTCTAAAGCAAGTTGAGTGCCATGTCAGTGTTCAAAAAGTCTTGGATTTTGAAGCGATTTGGATTCAGGATTTTCTCAGTAGGGCTTCTCAGCCTGTGCTGTCATTATTCTTTTGTGGGGCTGGGAGGAGTGAGACTGAGTCTTGCTAATGTAGTTCAGGCTGTCCTTGAACTTGTGGCAATCCTCCTGCCTCAGCCTCCTGAGTGCTGGGATTACAGGTGTGCACCACTACACCCAGCTTTCATTTTTCTTGCTGATACTCCTGTTTTTCCCATGCTAACCAGACAGAGCCCTTTCAATCTGGCTCCTGGGTCCTCAGCCCTGACCTCACTGGTCTCTGAGAGCTGCCTGATGCCAGGTGTCCCCAGGCCCACCTGTCTTCTCCCTACTTCTGCCCAGAACCAACATTCTCCAGGTCCTACGAGCGAGCTGTGTCCTCTCTTTTGAATCAGACTGGCAAGCTTGCCTTCTCTCACGTTTCTGTGGTCATAACTCCACTTTCTCTCCTCTGGCATCCGCTGTCACAGTGGACCCTTTGCTTTTTGTCTTTGGTAGGAAGCGGGGAGCAGAGAGGAAGACAGGAACCTGCAGTGCGCTTAGGGACACTGTCAACCCCTCGCCAGCCGGTGGGAAGCTTCCTTTATCACTGGTCAAGAACTCACTCTCTCATGGTCCAGTGTATGAGCTTCGTACACCAGTTCATCTCCTTCATTTTATAGTCATATAAAGCACACTCAGAGGAAAAGTACTGCCTAGGCCCTTGCCTCCCCATCTCTTCTCTAACCTCTTTGTCCCCATTAGCACTTAAGGCTACTCAAACTACAAAATGTGAGTAATGCGTCTGTTCGCTCTCATTCTTGTGGCACTGGAGTATCTGTTCCGAGGATGGCAGGTATGTTTAAGTCCACTGCTTCGGTCACTGCCCTCTTCTCGGAGCCTGGCACTCAGCAGGTGCCTTCACTGCTTGTGAGGGAGCAGAGGGCTCGACCAGGGCACAGGCCCAAGGGCAGCAGGACCTCGCGCCCACTCCTCACTGCTGCACTTCAGTGGCCCCTGCCCAGCTGTCGCTTCATCCCTCCTCCGAGACCCCAGACCCTTACACTGCTGGGTATGGATGTCGCAGTATCACATCGCCGCCCGTCCTACCTGCAAAGCAGCAGGTCCCTCTACAGCAAGGGCAGGGTCACGCTTATCTCTGTGGCCTCGGCACACAGCACAGGAGCCGGCGCAGAAAAGTTTGTCTGCTGAGCTCCTGGCTCCAGCCAAGAAAGCACACACCCCACAGCCGCCTTGCTGCCTGCACCAGGCCTCCACCGGCCACTCCAGCCCAAGGGAGCTCACAACAGGTCCCTGACTCAGCCACACTGGGCTGCTTTGGCTACAGCCCCTGTCACCAAGGCCATCGTCCCTGAGGCAGCGCGGAGCCGATGTTCAGAGAACAGAGAAGGGGCTGGAGCTTAGCAGGCCCTGCCGGGGTAAGGCTTGACCACGGGGAGACAGGGACAAAAGTTGGGAGCCCTGTGCCTACGAGCAGCTTGGAGAGGGACAGAAGGGAGCGGGTAAGAGTGAACAACACTGGGCACTGGAATGGCCTCACCTGCTCTTTCCTCACAATCTTCTTTTCCGTTGGCTCAGAGGCTGGGTTCTCGGGAGGCACAGTCAGCCGCAGTCTGCAGACATTTGCCTAAGAGAGGAGGAGAGGAGAGGCCGGTCAGGAAGTGGCAAAGAGCCAGGTGGCCTGGGCTTGCGGCAGCCTGTTTCCCCCCATTACGCAGGAGATGGGGTGGTGGTGGTGTGAGACCACCTTTGCCCAGCCTGCTGCTCGAAACAAAGAAATCACTGGGTGACCTCAGAGATTCCAAACATTTTAAATGGCTCAGGTTCTACAGCAGCATGTACAGAATAATCTTATTTCATAGGTGCAGGCCAAGCATAGCTAGGGGAAAGGAGGCCAAAACACACTCTAAGGTGGAAGATTTCGGGAGTTTGGGGTAGGAAGGCGCCTTCAATTTGATTAGATATTCAACTTTTCTACAACACATGGTGTTTAGTCGCAACTTTCTTTTCACGTCACATTGATAACAGCATCATTCACAATATCCTAAAGGTGGAGGCTACTCAAGCGTTCACAGCCTGATGGATGGATGGATGGATGGATGGATGGATGACCAAATGTGGTAAATAAACATATATTTATATACACGCATGGTGGAAGATTATTCAGCCTTAGAAAGAAAGAGATTCTGACCTGTGCTACAATACGCTAGACACATAAGGACAAATACTGCATGATTCTACCTACCCGAGGCTCGCACAGCCAAATTTATAGAGCCTGATCGTTGAATGGTGGGGGGAGAGGGGAGTCAGTATTCACTGGGTACAAAAGATCAGTTTGAGAGGCGAAAGAGTTGTGTTGCTGGGTAGTTGTGATCTTTGCACACAGCGTAAATCCACACAGTGCCCCCAGACAGGTACGCTTAAAAATGGTTAAGATGGCAACGCTAAAGGTTTGAGTACTTTACAATTTTAAAAGAAGAATAAAACCCCAAAGCTACTTATACTTTCTGGCTGCAGACTAAAAGTAAGACAGCTGAAAGGATACAGAAGACTAAGAACGTAGCAATTATAAACTGATAAAACATCTGACTCTAATTGACTACACCACCATGGTTAGTTATTTCTCACTAACCCTTGAGATGTTCATGTCGATTTATTACAAGAGAGGTCACTGAATACTGGAATAAAGGATCCTAAGTGGTTTTCAGAAGTCCAGAGTGGGGCTGTAGCTCAGCACAGAGCACTTTCCCAGAGCACATGAGGCACTGGGTTCAACCCCTGGTTACAGAGCACAAGCTCACAACAGCCTGAATCGTACTGTGTCTCTTAAAATACAAAAGCAGTGGCAGATACTATAAGCTGTGGGAATTATCAGTGTTCTGTCAACAAGGAGGAGGGCTCTGAGCCACATGATTTTCCTGCCAGGCTCCCATGATCTGCAGTACAAAGGGCAGAAACAATAATAATAACTAACCTTGTGTCCAGCACTCGCTGTGTGCCAGGCACCTTCTAAGTGTTTGAAACTCACTTCTTCCACCCCCACGAGGACCCCAGGACAATAGGTACTCTTTGCCAGCCTGGCTTTGAGAACACTTGTTCTCGGAGGTGCATATGATGAGAAAGGGCATCACTGAGACACAAACCTGGGGAAGTCTCCATGACCTGAGCTCTTAACCCTTGTGTTCATCACCCACTGAAATGTCACAGCGCGGTGGTGGCGAACCTATGGCACCTGTTATCCCTGAAAGCTCTAAAAGGTTCGCCATCACTGCCATAGGGGCTTGGCTCTCAGCAATGCCACTGCACCTTTTGTGGGTTGAACTGTGCTCCCCTAAAATTCAAATGCTAAAATCTAACCCTAGTTTCTCAGAATATGACCTTATTTAGACATAGGATCTTTCCAGAAATAATCAAGTAAAAATGAGGTCACAAATTTGGTCCTAAAACCAAATGACTGGTGTCATTATGAAAGCAGAAAACTAGGAGATAGACAACAGTGGGGGAGAAAGCCTCATGAACATGATTAGTCATCTACAGGCTGCGGAGCACCTGAACGGGCTACACCCTCACAGCCCTCTGAAGGAACCAAGGCTCCGACATCTGGGATTTGGACTGCAAGCCTCCAGAACTGTCAGACAAGAAATTTCTATTGTTGAAGCCACCAGGTTTGTGGTGTTTTTATGGTATCCCTAGCAAAGGAACTCTCCTTACCTGCTTAGCCTAGTCCAACCTGGTCAGCAGGTCACAGACCCATATTGGTTAACAGGAAGCCTCTGGGCAGCCTAGACGGAAGGTTGGATGGGATCTTGAAGGACTCTGAAATGCCACCTGTCCACTGATAAGGGACCCTATACCCCACAATGTTCCTCACAGATAGACACCCAGCCTGCAGGTATCATATTCAGGAATGAGTATCTAGCACATATCCAGTCTCTAATAATGGTAGATATTTTTATTACTATCTAGATAGTGTCATTGTCCTATCATCCTACTTGCACCAAAATAAAGCCTTGCTTCCCAGGAAAGTTAATAATTTAGTCAATGGATCTAGGATATTAGGTCTGTAAGTGATGCCTTTAGATTGGCTGATTGCCTTAGCCACGTGATTAAAAAAGGCGACCTGATTGGCTGGTTACTCTAGCCAAGTGATCCCTAAGGACCTTTTGATTGGCTGATTACCCACTCAATAATTCCTAAGGGCCATAATTTTCGAAAAGGGGACCATAGGTGTCAAGTCACCAAGAAGTGAGACAGCTTCTCCCTCTGATTGAACCCACTCTTCCCTTGCTGGCTCCAAACACTGGTTTTCCTCAACTCTCCCACACAGTGCTCTCACCCTGAGCTCTGTGTACCCGGAGCCCAAAGGGAAGCACAATGCATAAAATAAAATGAACTTGTAAAATAAAACTTTTGACTTCAAAGCTATGTGGCAGGTGTGCAGTTGCTCGAGGCTCCACCCCAGGGCCCTGTCTTACCACACTCCTGTCCACAGAGGTGCTTTGATGGGAACATTAGAGAGCACAGTTATTATCTCCTAAATGCTGGCCCACAGCTGACTGACTGTACTTCAGCAATTTAAACCTAGCTTAGAAGAAGATCTCACACACCCATTTCAAACAAGAGGGCCACTGTTCAGTCACAGACAAAAAAGGAAGCTTCAGAACAAAGTAAAAAGAATCTCACTTTTTTTTTTCAAATACACCCTGATAGTTTGTACAGACTTGAAGAAAAAAAAAATATCCTTATGGAAACACAACCAGCTGTTAGTGCTGTTTCTCTCTGAGAAATGAGATTTCTCTGGTATTTATAACTGTTGCTTTTAAAACTAATTATCACTCTAGTTAAAGAAATGATAAAGATTGAAAGAGAATGTTTCAGAGTCAGAGACCACTCCTCCCTAAATCCATAAGATAGTTTCAGGAGCAGCAGGTGGAACAGTACAGAGGTCTAGAAAGTATTCCGTAATCCTAACAGAAACATCAAGGAAAGTAACTCCAGCCCCACCCACTGGGCTGACCCAAAACCCAGACCCGCTTCTGTTCAGTCACTCCAGCAGCCACCCCATAAGAAAGTCACTCTTGGTGAGCTCAGCCAGTGGGGCTTATCTCTGAGCATTTATGATGGTGATCACCACAGTTTCCTGAAACTCAGGTACGCAATTCGCAGAGCTGCCCCTGACTGAGCAGGATCTGAGAGGCAGGTGGGCCACTTTATTCCCAGGGATTCCCACAGCAGCTATCTCTGCCCTTGAGTTCTGGACTATGCAGAGAATTACATCTTACTTACACTAGACACCCCTACTATTGCACCAGATAGGAAATATTTTGGTTTTGAAAGCACCAGTCCACTCCGGGGGATAAAAGCGGGAAGCTGGACACAGCATATCTCATAGCCAGTTGCTGAGTATTTAACTACCTATAAAATAGTTTGGAAAAGACATGTGGCTACCACAATGACAAAGAAACAGCTGTGCATGCCCATAAGCATTCACACTCTAGAAATACCTTCCACCAAGGTGGCCAGGTACATGCTAGCTGATCTCATGCAAGGTACAGAGAAGACAAGAAGCCTTGTGGTTAAAGCAGGTGGAATTATGATTCCCTAGTTTCAATGCAGTCCTGACACCTACTAGCTATGAGACCTTTGGCAAGCTACCTAATCATCACGGCTTTAGTTACCATCATTGTAAAATAGAGTTAGCAATACTGTAGCCTCTAAGGATTCTTGTGAGGATTAAGTCAGCTAACATGGATAAAGGGCTTAGAACAGTTTCTGGCACATATTAAAGTGTCTGTAAGTGTTCTTTATTATTATGGGAATATAGGAAGGAGAACCCTGGCCTTCACTGGAGGTGGGAATATATGGGAAAGAAGGCACCTAGAAACGACACTTGAGCTGGGTATAGAAGGACTTTCCATAGGGCTTACAGAATCCACCATCGTAACAACAGACTACTATCAGGCAGGCCACTCCCAGCAGGCCAAGGCCATAGCTGTTGGCATGCTCAGAGGATGGTAATGGGGCTGCAACAGGAGATAGAGGAGGAGAGGAAAATAAAGAGATAGAACAGGGCCAAACTCTCCCATTCTGCAAGTGCCACATGGAGAAGTACAGGCTCTGGTCAAAGACAAGGTGAAACCACTCAAATCTTTGGAGAAAGAGGCTGACATTCAGATATGAGATCATTTCAGCAAATCAGCTGGTATCCACTGAGTCCCTCCTGTATTCACTGCACTACAAAATGAGTGAAAGGGAGATCACTGGAGAAAGATCAAGCCACAGTGTTTAGCACAGTATTCAGTGAATGTCTGTTGGGTTTTGTTTTGTGTTTTGAGGGTTTTTTTTTTTTTTTATTGTTGTTGAATTAAAACAAAGGAGACTATATCTAAAATCCCTGGGAGATTCTTTTAATTTCTTCAAAACCAATCCCCTGGGAGGAATAGCAAGGGAGGAACAGACAGCATTCAGGCCTTTTCCACAAGAACAGGCACAACCAAGCCTTTGTTTGCAACCCAGAGCACCGGGGAGCTCCATGGGTCCTCCAGGGCCCCACTTCTGACCCTTCACCTGAGGGTACTCTGGGGATCCAGGTACCATCATGCACTCAGCCTCTGGCACTCAGGCTCA